ACAGCTTTGTTTGGCTGCTGCCAGGCTTTTCTGCAGAATAAGAGGAAGTTTGGTCAGATCAGCAGGTCAGCCGTCTGCAGCTCGCTCGCAGCGCAGCGCTGCTCACAGGTGTGCTGACAAGTCACAACCACCGCCTGACGGGGACATTTTTAGAATATGAGAGAAAAAACAACAAAATATGTCACTCATGATTTGTTTATCCAAGCTGAATCAATAAAAAGGCCGTGACAGAAGCACAGCTGCAGGTGAGTTCTCGACAAGCCTTTAAGGTCACATTCAGCTCATATATTTGCCATCAGTCACTCGGCTGCAGCAACGTCTCTGCCTCTTTCACCCCCGTCTTTTAATCCAGACTGGAAATGTTCCAGCAGCCGAGGGAAGATTTTTTATAAAGATTTATTGATGCTGATGATCCTCAGAGGATGAAACCACCCAGGTTCATCACTGGCTCCTGAAGTTATTGAGTTGGAACAGTTAGCACGGAGTCAAATTTGAATGAAATTAGAAGAGACGTTCTTTTGTCATTTTGAAAATGAAACATTAACCCATCTTTCCKGGRACTGCACAATTAGTAAAACCTTTTATTGTGACCTTAATATGTTTTTTAATAGTAAATTTGATATTCCTGTTAAACTGAATGTAAAACATGTTTTATTTGGCACCTTTGATTTTAGAATATCTGGGATAAAATATGTCATGAACTTTCTCATACTATTGGCTAAATTCCATATTCATGCCAGCAAATTTGCAAAACAAAAGCCCAATCTCACTGTTTTTAGGGCCTATTTGAACTATTTTTTGGACTCAGTGAAACTCTGTGCTAATGCCAAAGCCATAAAACTAAAAAAAATATGCGAAGATTTTAGGTTATAACCTTTTTTATTATTTAAGTCTTCTGTTTATTTTGTTTTTTGCATATTTTGTACCTTTTGTTTTTCTTTTTTGTCTGTTGTTTTCTCTCCCCTTGAGTACATTTATGTGTATGATTGTATGTTGTTGTTTATAAATAAAGTTTATTATTAAAAAAATCTGCTGAGTCATCACACACTTCCTGGATCTAACTAAGGTCTATGATGTGGGGCTACTGCAGGTGATCAGGTCTGGGTCCAGCATCAGTTTGTGCTCAAAGAATGAGGTCAGCTGACCAGGATATGCTAAATGAGCAGGTTATTCCATCAGTGGATTGTTTCTTCACTGATGATACGGTCATATTCCAAGAGATTGATGCGGCTTTTATTGTGAAGGAGTGGTCCAGGGAGCATGAGACATCATTTCCACACATGGATTGGCTCCACAGAGTCCACTGAGAGTCTTTGGGATGTGCTGGAGAAGGTCAGCCTCTACCATCATCAATGAAAGATCTTGGTGAAACATTAATGCAACACTGGATGAAATAAACCTGCTGACATGATGAAACTTATCCAAACAATGCCACAGAGAATGTGTCGTAATCAAAGAAAACTGTGGTCCAATGAAATAAAACTGTCGATGTAAATTTGATTCCTATTGAAAAGTCAAACCCAGCATGGTTGCTCAGAGTGATTTCCACACAGCTAAAAAAAAAAAAATTGTCAAATAAAACTAAACAGCAAACAAATACAATAAAGCAGGTTAAAACAAAAAATACAACATTAAACACCTGACAGGATCAAACTAAACTCAAGTTAAAGTTGTTTTCAGATGAGATTTATATATATATATATA